CACTCACTCACTCACACACACACACACACACACACACACACACACACAGAGAGAGAGAGAGAGAGAGAGAGAGAGAGAGAGAGAGAGAGAGAAAGCCATTTTCTCCACCCTTTGCAATTTCTCAAGCTGAGAGAAATCCGCTTGTGTATGTGTGTGTATGCGTGTGTTCCAGCTCCCACAAGCATGGGGGATAACTGTGCATATGCTCCTGGACCTGGAAATGCACTCTGCTCATGCCCCAGAGTCAGGGCAGAAGGGGGGATAAAGTTCCTCCTGTTCCCCGGCTTTAGGAGGAAGGAGGGACCGGAGGTCCCCTATTTTCCAGGCTTTGAACCGCCATCCCCCAAACCCCAGAACAGCCTCCGCTCCAGCGGACAAGCAAGTGCACTCACTTCACTCCTGTCTGTTCCCATTCATCCCTCTCTCTCGCACCTTCCTGCCTTATTCAGCTCCGTGCAGAAGCAGCCATCCACAAACCGGAGATTGATTGCCCGGGGCTGTTCTACAGCCCTAAACAATCAGGGCAGAAGCAGCCATCCACAAGCTGGGGATTGATTGCCTGGGGCTGTTCTACAGCCCTAAACAATCAAGCCACCTTATCTCCAATCTCTGAAAGAACCGGAGGATTACAAGTGCTGCAACCAAGGAAATAACAAGGAGAGGTTCGGCTGCAGGGGGTGGGGGAGGGGTGGGAGTGGAGATACAAAAGCCGAACATTTTAAAGTTTTTTAGTTTTGCCTGCCGGACGGAGGACATGATCCTGAAAAGTAGGACATGTCCTCCTTTTGCCGGATGTCTGACAACCCTACTCCTGTAGCTTATATTCAAACAGACAAAGGGGGAGAGTTTTTAGCACATCATTTCAGAGATTGGCTTAAGTAGAAAGGTATTCTTCACAGGTGTTCAAATGTGGCCACACCTGCTGAGAATCGAGTGGTAGAAAGAAGGAATGGAATTTTGTAAACTGTATTGGACTCTTTACTTGCTGATGCAAAGTTACCCAGATGTTAATGGGGTAAAGCCATGAAATATGCAAACTATATTGTTAACAGAGTTTGGATCTGTGCAGTAGAAGATAGACCTTTTTTGTTACATGGAAGACAAACTTCTTTGAAACATATGAAAATTTTTGGTTGTCATGCTTAGGTTCATATACCCAAAACATTCAGGAAGAAGGGTAGCCCAAAAGCAAGAAATGTGATTTTCTTAGGCTATCAAATAGGAAGTAAAAGTTATAGGTTTCATGATCAGTTTGGAAATGTAATACCGGTCAGCTAATTTTTGTCAGAATGAGAATTGGTCACAATACATGCAAACAGTGAAATACTTCAGCCATTGTGTAGTGACAGACAAGAAAAGTTTGAGGAAGAAGAAGAAAATGAGGCTGTAGGAGGGGAACAAAAGTCATGTAGGAAATTGTTCCAAGATGCTCACAATTTTGGTGTTCCACCTGATAGGTTTACAGCAATATATGTAAATATGGTAATATCTGAACCTGAGAGTTATGAGCAGATGTTAAATCTTTACAGGAGCACGAAGTTGTTTCACCAGTAAAGTTGCCTGAAGATGAAAATGTAGTAGGTTGCAGATGGGTTTACAAGTTGAAGGCATTGCCATATAATACCCAGCAATATAAAGTCACATTTGGTGACTCAAGGTTTAACATTGCAGCAAAAGTCAAACCATTTTAAGTCAGAGTGCTGCAAAACCTTTGCTAAAGCCCTGGAATGGTGTAAAAAGAGTGTGGAGATAAAGGGAACCATAGATTGTAAATTGAAGTTAAATGCATCTAACAATCTGAAATTAGAATGTTATGCAGATTCAGATTGGGGTTCATGTGAAATTGATAAGAAGTCAATTTCAGGAATGGCAATAAGTCTAGGAGAGGCTTTAATATGCTGAAAGTCTAGGAAACAAAGTTTAGTAGCCACAAGCACAGTGGAAGCTGAGTATGCATAATTAAATGATTTATGTGGAGAAATCACATAATTCGTTCAGTTAACTAAAGACATGACGATAAGAAGTCAATTTCAGGAATGGCAATAAGTCTAGGAGAGGCTTTAATATGCTAAAAGTCTAGGAAACTAAGTTTAGTAGCCACAAGCACAGTGGAAGCTGAGTATGCGTCATTAAGTGATTTATGTGGAGAAATCACATAGTTCGTTCAGTTAACTAAAGACATGAACACGAAAATTAATTTACCTGTCACAGTGCAGTGACAGCACAACTTGCATTCAGTTGGCAACTGAGGGTCAAATGAAAAGTAGAAGCAGGCATATTTGCATAAAGTATTGCAACGTAAAGAGTGCTGTGGAGCAAAAACTGATACATTTACAGTATTGTCCAAGTGAAAACAATATTGCAGACGTTTTCACAAAACCACTGACTGTGCAGAAATATGTTTATCTATATCATAAAATTGGTCTATACAACAATTAATTTAAGGAGGGGTGTTGAGATTTCGATCTTAAAATGTATTAAATATAAATGTTGCATAGTTGAAAGTAAAATGACTGATTTTACCTCAGTCATGTACTGAGTGTATTCAAGTGTGTGTACCAAAGTTTAAGATGTGATATTGTACAGCTGTTGTACATGATGTAACTTTATGTAAGTAGAAAATGAAGTAATGTATTTTCTGATTGGTCCCAAGAATGAATAATTCACGTGTAAAGGGGACATTTTATCTGCTGTAAGGCAGACCACTTTTTTCTACGCTATGTATTGTACCATGTTTTGTTATGCTGCCAGATGAATGTCTATTCTCTCTGTATATATGTTAAGAGACTAAGTTGGTATTTTACTCTCTCAGTGTTATAGTGTCTTTGCAACCTGGTATTTCCTAACTCTGCTTATGTCCTAAGAACACATATTAAACCAAAATTCTCAACATGCACCATGAACAGTGACTGGAGCAGAGCATGGAAACTTTACGTTTTGGATTTGCTTATTGATTTGTGGATTTATAGTCCAAAAACGTAATTCTTACAAGGGTCTTGACTGTGGTATCATTTGACTTGTGACAGAAAAGGAATCTATACTTACCCATAGCAGGAGTTGCTAAAGTCTGTCGACCTACTAGTTGGGCAGGCCCAAGACCATCAAGGAAATCACTGAACTGACTGTCAGCCCCCAGTCGAACTCCAGGAAATATTAAGCTGTGGTGAAACAAACAAAGCAGAACAAAAATCGCTCTGAGTGTATTTTTCCATTGTGAAGAAGGTCCTGCATTTCCAAGTCCACAGACTGGAAATGAACAAATGAAATGACACCACAAAGAGACAGTGAACATTTGAATCTTAGTAGATCCAAGACTACCGTGTTTCCCTGAAAACAAGTCAGGGTCTTATATTAATTTTTGCTTCAAAAATGCTTAAGGGCATATTTTCAGGGGATTTTTTTTGCATGTCATGTCATCTTCTGCTTGCTGCACAATGGTGGAAGGTGGGTTTTCCTCAGCCATGGCTTCTTGATGTCTTCTGGCTGATACGCATAAACATCCCATTCATTTAAAGCAGCAGTGAGCAAAGAGTGACTTGTCAGCCACAGAAAGACCCGAAGGCTCTAGAGCAGATACTGGGTTTGCAATATCCCCTGGGGAGCAATTTGCTACTCCCAGCCAACGTTTAACCATAAAGTCCTCTTTTTTGAAACTTGAAATGATTGGCTAGTCAGTTCCTGTTTTGAAAAGGGCATTTTATAAAAAGTAGCCTTGTGAGTATGTGGAAAGAATGTCATCAAAATGCCAAATTATATCTCCAGAGGCTTCTGGGGATTGCAATTTACTATTTCAGAGAATGTCAGAGGGGATTGTGGACTTGCAAGTCCCGGAGAAGAACACAAATCAGCATTAGCCTCTCAGATATTGCCCTCTTAAAGAGCAAAATGTCCTAAAGGGTGGGATGCTCCTCATTGTTGGAGGCTACAACTTACTTTCCTTCAGAGCTGTAACTGTTGATACTACCATCAGTTGATTCTCGACTTGGCTGCCGGACCATACGACTCCTCATTTCTGCTGCCATCCCTGTTTCTGTGCTTCTCTGTATCGTGCTTTTTAACTTCTTGTTGCCTGTCTCTGAAAGACAATAAAAAGAGAAGCAAAAGTAATAACATAGCAAATATCATTTTCATCATCGCCAGAGAATTAACAAAGAATCACATCCGAGAAATGTAATCATACACATTATTTGTTACTAACTAATTCTTCAGTCACATACACATTTACCTGGGGTAGGTTCCACTGCACCGATTAGGACTCACTTTTGAGCAGACATGAATAGCGGCTACACTGTATGTTTTAGCCTAATGACACTCTACAGATGTCTGCTACAATGGAAAACAAGTGTTGCTGATCTAATCTTTCTATTAATTTATCTTCTCTTTTGAACACAAACATTTCTGCTGTGTTACTGAACAAATGATTCCATTTTTAACAATTATTTTTCATTATATAACATTACACATTTTGGTTGTGAGTTTTTCGGCCTGTTTAGCTGTGTTTAGAGGTTTTTCTTCCTAACATTTCTCCAGTTTCTCCAGAGGACAGGGGTTAGAACTCTTTCTGTGTTCTGGTGTAGTGTGTGTCAACAACAATCCCATACACTACACCAGAACACAGATAAAGTTCTAGCTCCTGTCCTCTGAAGATGCTGGCCACAGACACTGGAGAGATGTTAGGAAGAAAAACCTCCAGAACATGGCCGAAAAACCCACAACAACCCTTGGATCCAGGATGTGAAAGCCTTCAAGAACACATTGTATTTTCATCCTCGTTTCCTAGTTATTTCCATTGAATATCCAGTTTTTAATTTGGTCTTTGTCATATTTACAAAGTCAGTCTTTCATAAACATGCGTATCAAGGCATCTTATATGTTACATACATGTATAGCATGTATAGTATACAACTGAAAGTTATTTTTCACTCATTGAAATCAAGGCAAAGCTTGTGTCGATTTTAATAAGCCTGAAACTAAATCTTGTTTGTTTCTTCCATGCATACAATAGACCTTTACGCACAAGGTTGTCTTCATTCAATGTGCAAGGCATTTTTATTAAATCTCATTGTTTTCATCATGGCACTGGAGACCACTGGGGCACATGTGGGGTGTTCTACCATAGAAGATGATTGCTAAGATAATTCTTCCCCAGATTACCATGATAGCTTTCTGTGCTTCTCCATAGTCTAGATCAGTACTTTCAAACTGTGTGCCATGAACCCTGATGTGCCTTGTAGGTTTATTAGATAAAGGTAAAGGTTTCCCTTGACATTTAGTCTAGTCATGTCCAACTCTAGAGGGCAGTGCTCATCCCTGTTTCCAAGCTGTAGAGCCAGCGTTTTGTCTGTAGACAGTTTCCATGGTCACGTGGCCAGCACGACTAGACATGGAACCACCATGGTGGTGCCTATTTATCTACTCGCAGTTTTACACGCTTTCAAACTGCTAGGTTGGCAGGAGCTGGGACAAGCGACGGGAGCTCACTCTGTTGTGTGGATTCAAACTGCTGATCTTTCAACGTTGCAGCCCAATGGCTTTGCAGTTTAGCCCACAGTGCTATCACGTCCCTTGTAGGTTTATTAGAGGATCCCAAAAGAATTGTTAAGTAATGATGGACAAACATCCTTGAAGGATTACTGATTTTCACCTATAATGCACAACCACAGACAAAGGCTGGGTATGATGGTGGCTTACCTTATTTTGTAAGGCAATGACACACAATAGGCTGGTCAATGCCCTTCATCAAGAATGTATGCCATATACCCCAGAATTCTGTGCACAAGGTTTCCATGGTTGACATTTGAGGGTTCATTCCCTAAGTTAATTTCATAACTGGACACTACAAGCTATGTTTCCTAATGGAATTCATAAAGTGGTTTGCAGAAGTGTTAACAGATTCTATCACTGGGTAAAGTGACATGTAGGGGCATTCCCAAGGAGAGCCATGGAGCTTCCTATCTCATCATTGTACTTAACATATGGCTGAATTGCAAGCAGCACCTCAAAAAAAAGCCCTAATATTATAGCCCATATTAGGCACTGCTAACTCCTGAGCAGGCCCGCAGCTGAGTGTTGCTCAGCTAGCAGCTCTCACGTCTCTATTCTATATAAAAATCTCTGTTCCACCATGTAAAAAGATCCAGTAACAAAAACTAGTAGCCCTGCCCAAACCACCAGATTAACATCTATTGTAGGTGAACAGTGGAAAGAGAGCTTCAAAATAACATAAGTAGAGATGGGCACGACTTTAAAGCAGATAATCAAATTCATCCAAAAACAGTTAATTCGTCAATTCGTATTGGTACGAATCAATGGCCCTGACAAATATGAATTAATACATTTTGGTGATTTTTGATTCATTAAGCTGTTGGGCTATAAAATGGCCTCCCAGGACCCAAAGATACCAAAATTGCTGAGAGGTTTCCACTGCCTTTTCTCTATAATCCCTCCAATTGTGGTGAAGATTGGGTTTCAGACAACTGGGTTATACACCCACAAAGAGGGTCCCCCCAGGAAAGTTTTCTCCAGACACCTAGAGACACCAAAACCACAGAGAAGCTCCCCATGTCTCTCCTCTACATTCTCTCTAAATTTGGCATTTTATAGGGTTTTAAATTTTTAAAATGCATCAACAAATTGAGTCAGCAAAAATTCATGAATTCATTTTTCATGATTCATCACCCTTGACAAATCCCAAATCAAAACAAATCACAAATTTTCTGATTCATGTCCGTCTCTAAACATAAGTAACAAAGCTGAAAACAGTTACAGTACTTATCTGGGTTGAAATCCTGTTGTGCAGCTCTACCTGAGTAACAGTGATAACAGCAGCAGCAAATCACCACTGATTAAAGGTTTCCTTTGATGATTTTGGGGTGTATGTGATTTCGTCACATTGTGCATGAACTGAGAATGCCCCAAATTGTCTTTGATCAGTAATGATTTGTCACTGATGCGGAACCATGCAACAGGATTTCAGTCATTGATTTTTACATCAATGACGTTACATTTCAAAAGTCAAGGCATGGCTGCAATTACAATACTGCTTTTCATGTAAAAAAATTATAACATGTTCTAGTTATTTTTTACAATTACTTTTAAAGGGCAGTTTTAGAGGCATTGAAAGAGGACTTTTTCCCAGCTTTTTGCCATTGTCTAAAGGTAGCCTATATGTGTTCCTTTAAAAAATAATAATCTGAAAGCAGTGGGAGGTAGAGGATAGGTATAACAAATTATGTAAGAAGTGACATTTTAAAGAAGCTTTCCCAGCTTTGGAGGCAAACAGGGACTGTCCAACAGAGTGGCAGATTGTGCAAAACCAAGAAGGCAGAATTGCCCTTTTCCATTCTAATGAGATGGGAGTGTCAGGGTTATCAATTTTGTTTTTCATAATCTCCCTTGTGGTTAAGATTGAGGGACATAAACTATCCCAAGGGCACTGTAGCACAGTTCACATTTGAACCTAGGTTCACGTAGAGTACTAGACCACACTGGCTGTTTTCTATGGTGCTACAAAGCATCACCTGTGACACAGCTGCTCTGTTTCCCATAAACAATACATTTGGATAATTATGTCATGCTTAGGTTTTCATTGATAGTATTTGTATTTCATGGAAAGAAAGGGCCCAAGGGACTAAGATTTCTTCTGTTCTTGGAATGGTTCCCTTAAATAGGAACATCCACTGAGTCAGGCCATTAATAAATGAACTGTGTAACTGAACATCTTAATAAGGTCTTCACTCTATTTCCAGTTTGCTCGGGAATTCTGTAAATGACAATATAAACAGCAAATATACAGG